AAACATTTAGTTTGCAAATTTTGCTAAGTACTTCCGACTTAATTTGTTTTGCTTACCGGATGTGGTTTATCTCTCTCTCCCCCTGAACTTATTTTCATTTGTATTTAGCGGACAATTCGTAGTCCAAAAGTCCCTCAAAGAATGTTGAAATAACTGTCTGTTTGAATTTTGCCTGCAAACCACGGATATTTGTTTCGTTTTAATTTCTCATTATCTATCAGTCACTTGGCGGAAAGTATGGCCCCTTAAGTCCATCCTGATGGCTTTAACGTTTATGTAATAAACTCGGAACCCAATCTGGTGATCTTCACCTCACTAAATTAATTTACCTTTTTCATTATGGAGAACATTTGTTAAATTTGGGGGAATTTTGAACACAACTCGCAAAAGTCTGGCACTGAGGCAATGGAATGTTAAGCAGTGAACCGTATTGAAGAAATGAAGTGTCCACAGCCTGATTCAAAAGTGCAAACTTTGATGACATGAATTTAATGTCTACTTCCCACTCGATCTCCTTACCTTAACCCATATTGGCTTGCTTATTAAATTAAGAATTATTGGCAATTAGTAAATAGCTAGCTATTATCAAATCATATTAAAGGATAGATAGGGGATATGGTGTAGCGGATTAGCTACCTCAATTACCTTGACTATTCTCAGAAAGCTCTGTAGCAATTTCTTCCAACTCGAAAGCCCCGGGAATTAGCTAAGGTTTATTCAGTACGTATCTTGATAGCGTCGTGTACACGCAGGGAGCTACTCATGATCAGGATGGGAGATTAGATTAAACAGAGGTTGATGATTGGTCACTGTTTGTACGGTCGCTGCACACAGAGTTGCACGGCCGCACCTCCCAATCCTGGCGAGCAGACATGCAGGTATACGATGACGCACAGAGCGATAATGTGTCCCACAATGGTTATGATCGTTTATAAGTGACAATCTGTATTGATCCATTGGAACTGAATCAGACAAAGAGAATCTAATTCAAGTCGGTCGAATTGAATGTAATTGAACACCAATATCCTATCTGTAGTTTGTAGTTACTTGCTTTTGTCTCGTTTATTCTCGACCTTTTAATGAAAGTGATTAAGATTTTCTCTCTAAATTGTGGATAGAAATTGCAAGCTATATATTGTCTGAATTCATGATGACCATTATAGATCGGTATCAATTTAATTCGATTCTGTAATACTTTTTTCAAACTTGTATTCCATAAAAGGAATTCACTCTGTGAGATAGAATACGTCATAATTTACAGCTAACCTGGTTACCGGTCTCACACGAATAAAGTTTTAAAACTGTTTCCGGCCATTAATTTTGGCCAGTTGTAATGTCCTTCTTAGTAGTTGTAGATACTCCTTGGTAAAGGTTCTATTTTGAATTGAACTAATTAAGAAATTTCGGCTCAGTTAAAATAAGCACCATTTTGTTTGAACAAACATTGTATTTTTTCCATATTCAATTTCGCAAGCGCTGTTACCAAAAGTCAGTTTCGTATAACTTGATATTTAATTTTGTCTATCACTCGTTTACACAGGCAGTACGCCAATGGATAAAAATCAAAGCTCAAACTCTGGACATTGTGGCTGCAAAAAATTTCACTTGCTAGTTATAAAGAATCTGAGAATAACTAAACTGTTTCCTTCCCTCCTCACCAATAAGTAGGCTGTCTATCATTAGAGCAGTTACAAAATGACCGACTCTATAAATCTAGATTTCAAGAATAATTAGCCGGATTACTCTTGACAACTCTCTTCCATCACTACTTATCAGGGTTTGCCGTCCCATAGTTTGCTCAACCATAGTTCAGTTTGAGTCGCTCGAACCAGGCATTAGACATAGATGAAGCAGACCATCTAACACTAAGGATATATGTGTGTGTTTTGCGGTCCATTGTATTAAGCTACAAGGTAAAATTAAGGAAGGAAATAAATCAACTTACCAATCATGCGTTAGCGAAGAGGTAAACTTTCTCAGTTCAAAATTGATACATTAGTTCTTACTAAAAACGACTAGGATTATTTTTTCTTATAGCAAGAAGCGCTTATATATATTACCAAAAGTTTTAATTAATATATTTAGATAAATACAATTTTATCTCTTTTGTTTTGTGATGGATGAAGTATATCAGGCAGAATAGTTCTGGGTTGATTAATCATATTTAATCAACCATGTTTCGACCTTCTGTGATGGAGTTTAGAAACACCAGAAACTGCAAGATATTTTTCCAATTTGAGTGATTTACAAACTACATTACATATTCATATATTAACATGCGCACCATTGCTATTTGAGCTCATAATGAAAATAGGACTTCATCCATGAAATTCGATTTAACTTTCAAAGTCCCAAATTGTTCATAGACAACATCAAAGAATATTATATTTGACACTTGTCAATTGACGAATTTAGATAACAATATTTAATAACATGGTCGATTGGATGGCGATGGATAAACTGAAAATCAAACGTGACTTCTGACTTCAAACTACCATCACCTCACTGTATGTCATATTCGACCCATTCAGAGTATTCACCTAACCTTTTTTCTACCTTTGTGTCTGTCTCTTTTACATTTTAGAAACACTCTTTTATTGCCCCACTCTCTCCCCCTTTTTAGTGACTTTGATGTTTCTTCCCATCTGTGAAGCCTGAAGTCAACTAAAGGGCTAATGATAACTATCAAAACGCCAGCCATTTGATATAAATAAATATTCATTCTATTTCCAACTGAATTTCTAGTACGTCTTTCTAAATTGTCAAAAGCCTATATCAAATAATACATGCAGCTCTAGCATAATTCTATTCAGAATATTAAAGTAGTAAGCTAAATTACAAACCTATTTACCAATTAGATTGGATATTCAAACATATTTCCTTCCATTTATGACGTTTATTTTTGGCTTGTGACAGTAACACAATATTGCAGGCGATGTGGCTGGGCAACAGATTTCGAAAAACACAAAACAATTTTCCTTGGTTTAGATTTTAAAAATATTAAATATATTGCCAAAATTTTCGCGGATTATAAAGAAGTAAAACCAAACACACGAACATTAGCGCTTTTTATTTCAAATGAGATGTTAAAGTTATAGGAAAATAATTTTTGCCATTCAACTAACACGAAAACCTCTTGAACTTATTAAATTCGTATAAAAGCAAAAAAGTTCTTTAAGCCTATGCTTTTGCAAATGAAATAGAAAACTTGATATTGCACAATAGTTTTAATAATATGAAGTTACCGTCAATTATTTAAAAATGGTTGCGCCTCAAGGCCAGCTATTCTGAAATGCTTGTATCTACATCTACTTTATGTCTGTTTTGTTTACCGCGTTTTATCTTCTATTCCTTTATTTTGTTTAGTTAAGCTTTACTGGTCAAATTCGCGACCTTTTTTCGTTTGGCAATCGTTATGTTTTCTCTCTTTTAGTCATTAATAGTAACACCGTTCCATCTGAACTTTAAAATACTATGTTCACGAAGTCCAATGTAATGTTATGATATAAACTAGTGATTATTGTCAATCACTTTAGTCTGGAGTGATGAGACTCTTCGAAAGTCTTCTTTCGCACTCTTTAAGTTCAGACATTTGTTGAAGCCATTGGAAATGCCAAGGCGAAGTAGATAATAGATAGGAAACCCTAATATCTCGTCATCTGACTTCTTGTTCTTGCATAAATTTACTCAAATGTATTACACAATCAGGTTTAGAGTCCGTTGTTGTCAGTATTTTCAATCTACTCTACCTATGAGAATCTCTAGAACCTTAATGCTTCTTTCAAATGGCAGGCGTTTTGATGGCTACCATTAGCTCTTAAGCTGACTTCGGGCTTCACAGAGGGCAAGAAAATCAGAGTGAGAGAAAAAACAGAGGGAGAACAGAAAAGTGATTCACAGACGTAAGAAGCAAACAGACAAGGTCAGCGAAAAGGTAAGGTGAGTACTGTGTAAGTGGTGGAATATGACATACACTGGGGTTATGGTGTTTTAAAGTCAGAAGTCAACTGCCGGTTTTGACGTTGACGTGTGAGTGTACGATGTCCAGGTGCACCAAGTGGAGGTAAGTCTATCGCACACTCCGAGCCTCAAAATATCATTAATGGGGTGGAGGCAGTTATTTTAATAGCAAAGTTACTAAAACTTGTACGTCTTAGTTGGATAAAAGTATGAACTATGTATCTACGCTGGTAGAATCTACCTGAAATATGAATATAGAAGACTTAGGAGGTCTTAAACGTGAAGCCTGCTTGTCCTCCACCAGTGTGTATTGACATTCGCGCACCAGCTGTCTTGAGAATTATTTTCAGATAAATCTCGTAGACGCATATACGCTTTCATATTTTAAATTAGTAGTACACACTAGAACTCGCAATATTCTGGCACACGTACACGGCAGTTCAAATATATCCTCTTATCTAACACGATGTTTCATTTCATTGATGGGACAGAACAGAACAATCCATAGATTGCGTTACGAAGTACAGTCAAAAGGAACCCCTATTATAAGAGGTCATGCGAATGCGACGAGGAAAACATATCAACGGTTAGAAAGCGATGGTGCACTAAGTTAGCACAGATTCCCAAATGAGTCTGGGTAATGGCAATTGACGTTTCTATTATCCCTAGTAATTACTATACGATCACCAGAACAGACCACCTATCACGCTAATCTGAAAATCGATTCGCTTTTTAGCTTTACCATTGTCCTATTCATAAATTATGCTGGATTGAAATTATCAAAAATGTATTTCTTTATGTAGAGTATAAAACCTTAGCGTTGGCCCTAACGAACAACAGTAGGTTCATAAGGTGGAAACAAATATCGTTAATTACCTATCACGACGCAAAAGCACGAACACAGAAAGCGCATTTAAATGAACTAGCATAGAAATCCAACAACTGTTCAAAACCAATGAAAAACGGATTAAAAGAAATAAATCCAGTACAAATATCCACACTTTTTTTCTGAAAAGACAAATATTCCATAATATGTTTAATTACACCATTGTCTTTAACATCTTGTTGATGTAATTCTCACGATTACCGAAATCGCCTCCCTCGACAAAGTGCCTGCCTTTTTTGCGAAAACCACCAGTGGGATTATTTAGCTTGAAGCGCCACAGGAAAGAGGACGCAGCTTTAAAATTAGGTCCAACAGTGTAGATTTCGTGAACAAGATCTTCAACACAGAGAATACCGTAGCGGCCCAACTTGTGACGAATGCGTTCATTAGTAAGAGGCAGACGCTGGCCACGAACCTTGCAAAATCCACGCTTGTAAATAAGGCGACGAACAGTTTTAAGTGATGGGTATCCCCATGCAATATATGGATCGATGAGTCGCAACATGTTTAGCGTAGCCTAAGATATTAAAGACGCTTTAAACAAACATACCTTATTAAGTTTAACAAAAACACCATTATTGATTTGAAGAAGACGCATAAGCTGAAGGGTTTTTCTTGGTTTGGGGGCAATGCCATTTATACCTCGGATGCGCACAACGAAAGCCAGTCGAGGTTCTTCTGGAACGTAGAAATTACCGGCTTTTTCAGCGTTGCGTGCAAGGGCAATCTCACGTTTTGCGGTACGTTTGTACTCCTAAAAGCGTTTATTTCAATATCAATTTTACCAAAAGATGCTTTTGGGCTCGTTTGGTGCAGATCTTTTTAAGGCGAAGATATTTAAGGCGTCTAATGACTTTTTTCTTCTCCTCACTTTTGATTTTTCGGGCACGAATAGCATCCTTGCGTCTCAAAGTTTCAGGCTTGCGAGGCTTCTTTTCAACCTTCTCGGTTTTGTCAACCTTAGTCGGTTTCTCAGATTGTTTTTCGGCACTACAAATAATCACCAGAAAATGAGCATATAGGAACTTGCAAAAGCATAAAAAACTAAGGATCGAATAAACTTACACCATAGCGGACAAAACTCGTGTGAGTAAAAGTGTGCGCGAAAGGCGCAATTAAATTACTTTAAACAAAATGAAATTATTTTTCCCAAACATGTCTCAATACTCCTTATTAATGTTTTTAAGCTGTTATTTAATATATTTCCACGAACATAATTAATATTGTATTAATTTTATAACTTATTGTAAAACTTCGGTCTTAATATGTAATTCATTAACCCAAACATGTATTACGTTCAATTTCAAAATGTTTTTCCCATTTAAAATTAAATATTTATTTCCGACTTTATTATTCGCTGAATATCGTGATACTTACGTGGAAATGTTGCATTATTTTTTATTGTTTTCCTTTGTTAGCAGGAATTTCTGCATAGTTTTTATATCCTGTTTTTTACATTATTTAATTTTTTAGATAGACCAATTAATGATGTTACTTTCAGTCTGAAAACGCCATTAGCAAAACTAACGTTACCGTTGTCTGGCTCGGGACATCCATTAGATACTCACTTTTTATATGTTTCCTTTCATTACCTAATTATTATCACTGAAGAAAATTTTTCACAATTCCGAAACCCACCGATTTTGTATTTCAAAGTAAGTGAGGAATTTTGTTCATCAGTTTTATGAAAAAAATGCAGAAAATGTATTTTTGATTAATAACGATTCTTTTATTAGTGATTTTGAAAGTTTTCGATGGACATTGTTAATAAGAAACTGCTAGCTGTTTGCAAAAGCACTACACGCAATGCAATTATTTTGATTTCTGTGCATTTAGATTAATGGTGTCTGTGCTTTCATTTAGTGTGTCGCTATCTGCTCTTTCTTCAGGCTCACAAAGTATCATAAATATAGTTTCATTATTTATTTTTAGAGTTTTTCATTTATTTAAAGAATAATACACCCACTTCATCCAATAGTGATTCTTATTTACTTCCATCTTATTTGCAGCCGCATAAAGTAAAAGCTGAAAGCGGGTGGTTAGGGCATAGAATGGCATTTGCAGCGCCAGACATTGGTCCGCCTGGCCACTGACTTCGAAGTGCAAGACACTTTTCCCTATCGATAAAGAGACTATTTTGTTTGCACACCAGTTCACCTTCTTTTGCAGTGCGAAGATACAGCAACTCCTGCAATATTCCTTCGGATTTTTTCAGCTGAGTTTTCAATTCCTCAATGGATTCTTTAATCAGTTTTACTTCGCAGATGAGTCTTAAATATAAGTTGGAAATAAATTAATTCAATAGCCATTAGAAAGAGTTACAAATAGTTTAAAATGTTAGTAGCTTACTGATTCATGGCAGGATCACGACTGTTCTCCATCCCTGGTCTTTTTAATCGCGCATTTAATCGAGATGACGCTGTCTTCCAATATTCCTCTTTGTCTTTTATAGCTGCCTTCAGTTCATCTATTTCTTTTTCTGTGTCAATAATGGATTGTAAGGTCTACAACATATTATCTATTAATTTAGCCATCTATCAACAGAATAAATTAATTATGAAAACACCGTTTTGATTTACTTTTCCAAGTGAAGCTTGAATTTGATTACGAGCATCTGTGAGCTCCCGAATACGTTGAGATAACGCAGCATTCGCAACTTCCCACAAATCATTCAGTGTCTTGCTGGCATGGGCAAGTTCCTTGACAATGCGCTCACGCAATTTTCGACTTGCTGTTCGCTCAGATTGACTGCGCTTTATAATGTCAGAGACGTATTTTTCCCAAGTCTCCGGCACGGACTGGCTAAATATAAAATAAAGCGATATTAATGAATATGAATAATTCGTTAATAAATAAATGTTCATGTGTATCATTTTAGATTACAACCTTTTAGAAAATTGATAGCCATAGCGCTTTACTTAATAAAAATTTCTATCTGAGTCACAAATTAACGAGAATTGAATTTTGTTATTTAATATAAAATTCTGCCATTTCACTTTAAGTCTTGATTTTTGGTAAACTACCATTAAAAGCGTTGGAACTTACGTTTGGTCAATGCATTCGACCCCATCATATAGATGGACAAAAGCAGAACCATTGTGCATTGAATGAGCACCTTCATCAATTTGAAGGGCCATGAATTTATTAGCTTTGTCGTATTCTAGCTCATGCAAAGCTGCTCTATTCAATCTTGAAGTTTGATGAAGGTAAATATTAAAATTTAAATGAATCATGGCAATTTTAGGGAATAGGCGTGTTACCAACTTACTCTTCCTGAGTCCTAGCGTCATTGATTACTATTTTAAGGTCGTTTTGCACTTTCCTAACAATATCAATTTCCTGAAAGATACGAAATAAATCATGGAAAGAATTAAAGTCATTTGATCATAAAATGCAAACACTTAATGAGAATTATTGGTTGCATATAAAAATACAGAATTTTCATCTTAGTCAAAACTAATTTTCATGATAACTATCAACTTTCGTATTTACTTTAGAGAATTCTGCGTTCTACGAAAAATAATACATCATATCCGAACATTTTCTGCAACTTACTAATGTAAAATCCTCATCAACAAATTCTTTAATCCGTACCCCCAAAAGGAACTGGGTAAACATATTAAGGTATTTAGCTATTCGAATTTTAATAGGTATGAGAATAATGCGGATCAAACAATGGTCGGATCACTTCCTCAGATGGAGCGATCAGCTTTACTTCAAAATGCTAAATTACCCATGATAAAAGTTTTTAAGATTTGGGCTGATAATCTATACTTGATGCAACTTTTACTTATTAAGAATTGGGATATTTCACGTATGCTATATTATACCTAGGAGACGAGTTTCACTTTGGATTATCGCGATAACCATGATCCATCCCTATTCCCATTTGGTCAATGGGCTCATTTGCTTTCATCGATATCACACCGATATCCATAGTCTCCTGTTTGAGATTTTGCCTGATTACCTTGCCATTTTTCTTCTCTTCCCTTAGAAAATTTCTGTATTTCATGGTAAGGTCTCACGAAGCCACGATGACCAGTGAGCTAGCTTTTACTCACCATAATACAACTTAAAGCCATTATGTTAGAAATTGCACATATTTGAAAACATACATACCTCAATAAATAGGAAAAATTAACTATCTTTTAACTAAAAAATAAGTTATTCAGAAATTATAGGTAAACTGAAATGCCTAAGAAAAGCATGGTTTTGAACAACTTTGATTAAATTATTTAAATATATACTTAAATTTCTCTTAGTAGTTTATTTTTGCTTAGTAGTCTTATTTTGGTTAAGCTGCCTCCAATTAAAAGATTATCTGTGAATTTACCCTAAGGAGTTTCACTTCAACGTCATCATGTACTAGATCTGTTCCCTGTCTCTTCTCTCGAACATAAAGGCACTCTTGAGTTATGTGCAGATAATTCTCCGTTTCAGCCAGAAATTTCTCAACGATTCTTCTAGCTCTGCCCAGATCATCAATTTCCTGTTTTATTTTCCCGATCTCCAAATCCAGCTCACTTTGCCAAAAGGCTATATCACAGATTCTGTCGCCCAATTTCCTTGTTGAGTCCTCCTGATTTCCTTTAACCAGGTCAGCTAGTTCTTCATCCAGTCGTTTAGAATCATAAACGAAGCATTCGGAGTTCTTTTGTGCAAGATCGTTTGCTTGTAAAAGGCGATTGTAACTTTCGAACCAGTTCTTCGGAGTATAACGTGTATAAAGGGCATTTCTAGCCGCTGAAAATACCGAAGGCACGCGAATACCACACATTTCACTAAGTTGAGTGTCAGGAGAACTGGCCTCAACTTGAGAAGTGCTTAGAGGAAGAGATGGACAAACTTTGGCTGAACTGTAGTAATTTGTTGGACGACATGATAGTTCTGGCTGCAAATACGGCAGTGGGCAAAGGTCTGCTGGTGTAGACTTCAGGGGCGAAACATGGGCTAATTTTGGTAAATCTGAATTAACTTGTTGGCGACCAGAAACGGGCATATACATACCGTTTCTGTTGTGGCAAATATGCTCCATGTTAAAAGAAAATTTTCATTAAATGTGCGCGTGCTATATGACATATGGCCTCGCAACTTTATCGATTGTTGCTTAAGGTCATAGCATTAGGGACATGCAGAGTTATGTAAAAAGCCATGGGCAGCAAAATATACGAAAAATGAAGGTAAACTACACATGTATTGTTGAACAAATAGTGAAATAATAGGGTGATTTATTAAGTGTATCTCCTACATCTGGCTAGACTACTTGAGCCAGCTAAGCTACCGCGAAGATAGGGAGGAAAGAGACGTATTACACAGAACAGATTTATTGCAAATTATGAAATCGGCAGAATGCGAATAGTTATCACATAAATCTAGCATAATTTGAGTGAATATTAATAGCTAAATATCTGGGCAGAGCTATTATTAATAAACTACATTCCAGTTTGTGGAAGGAAAGGAGAATGATTTGAAGAATTTCGTTCGCAATTCGTTGCTACTTTTGAGGTTTTAAGATTTTGAAGTAATTTATTGCAATATCACTATTTCTTTGTGTAGCAGTAACATACACAAATATGTCCAAGGTTTTTAGAGGACATATAGGAATTCTTGTTCAACTAGTTATTGTCATTTGCCTGCTGTCTAAAAGTATGTCCTTCGTAATAACCAAGCGGAAGTATGCAAGTTAAAAATATTAAGGCTCTCTTAAAGTGAATTTAAGAAATTACTAGTTTTTAACGCTCTGCATCATCCATATTCCATTTCTGACAGTATGCAAATATTTGAGCCATATTCGAGTAAAATAGGCTTTGCTGACTAATCGGGATCTTAAGAATATATATTTGTCAATATAAAATTAAATAAATTGAAATTTAAGCGATTTGATAGCTATATTTAATGTCTCATTTGCGGTTGCATGGAGCGCATATTTTTCTCCCCTTTACCAAAGGGAACAGTTCATTTTAAAAATAAGTTGATAATATACCCATTTAGCTTCGCCTTAATAATTTAAGGTTAAGCGGAAATATTCAAATAACATACAGATTAATTTTAAAATTTATTTTCATAAGCATTTTGGTAAACATAGTTAGTATTTAGGTATTGATACCATTGGCCTTTAATCGGGAACTGACTTGCAGATTTTGTACATACCACGTCAATATTTACCTGTAACTTCTGCAAGATGATGACTAAGAAGGTTGGAAAGGAAGGCTCTAAAAGCCAAAAGACGATCCACTCAGAGAATTTGTCGACGCTTGCATTTTATAGGAATATTATTGGTTGTGTAACAGTAAGTCATATTCTGTCCTTTGTTTGACATTTCTTAATTTTAATGAAATTTTCTTTTTCGTTTCTACGTAGGTTGTATACTTCATTCTTACCTTCCTCTTTTTTTGGGATAAATTTATACTTCGATACATTGTATTGACTTCCATGTGCTTCATTACAAATATCCTTGCCTACCAATTCATGTCATATGTTTCTACTCCACACTATGCAATGGACGAGCGTGGTAACAATGTTTTAGTCGATGCTGGGATGGATCTAAATATTGGTCCCGGCAGTCTTGCCGAGTAACTTGACCTCTTGTTTTATCATTATTTCTTTTAGACATGCAAAGGATCTCATTTTAACTTGCACTATTGTGCAGTCTTTAGCTATTATTCATAATGGATTTTGGCTGTTTCTTCTATTCGTAAGTTAGCCTTCCTAGTTTCGACATCAGTAGCACCATCTTTTGCCGCTTATCTAATTTTAATGCGTTTTTTTGCAGATTCCCGGTCGAATCTTCTACCTCTTTTGGGTACATATTCTTGCTCCATGGATTTTCGATCCCAACCAATCTCCACAAATTAGTGAAAAAAAGCAAAAGAAACAGGAACGCCGGCTCAAGCGAATGCAAAATATGGGTCGATAAGTTAACCGCTGCTTATCGCTACTTTGCTATGTGTTTTTTACTATCGTCCATGTATTATTCTCGTTGCCTAACTTCTATTTTCTGTATTACGTATACACTGTATATTTACTTTCTAAGACCCCTAGCGTATTTCTTTATTTTGGGAGAAAACGAAAAAGGGAGATTTTTGGGCCTTTGTTGTTGGTCATATCGCTGGAGTTGTTTATTTCATGTCGTTTTTAAGATCACGAGAGCTACTGGCATTGACGGGTGGGGTCCATGTTTTGTTAAGAAAAAACCAGATGAATAGCAAACATTTCTGAGATGTATTTGTGTCTTCTTAGATTTTTTCATTAATATTTTAACGAGTATCTGATTCTCCAAGGTTGCAATGCAAAAGTATCAAATTACCGAGATTTGTTGCCATTCTCAGTTTTTATAATGTGCGGAATAGGTTGTTGAATCTTCATTTGGTCGAAATTACAGTTTAAGGCACATGTGCTGCACCGGATTTAGGGTTTTTCAGCTAAGGACTACTAGCATTCGCAATAGAATAAGCATAAGTATCAAATAATGTAGTAAAATAGAAGTGGGGTGTCGCCTGTGCTATGTGTCCGGAACGTCTTAGTGGCGAGACAATATCGAGAGCAGAGGCCAGAGGATGTTCATTGGGAACATTTGAACTGCAGCTCACGTCAAGTGATTAACCAATGGTAATGAGTAAGTATAGGTGCGCGCAAGTACTTCTAAAGTAGTCATTAGTGCGTAAAATTCTGATACACCAGAAATTCAATTTTAAATAGGTAAATATGCGATTATCAGTTCTAAATGCACAACTTTCAGGTTAGCACAAGGAATAGGGGGTGACATTAGTAAAATAGGAACGATTAGTACCCACCACTGCAATGTCTCCTGGATTCTATCGGATAGACTGTACCTTAATGTTGAATCGCCCTCTTCTTGTTCGGTGCCTGACAAGTCAAAAATTGCGTGATCCGTTCCTCCCATCGGATCAAGCAATATTATGGGTACTCTCCTATTATTTATTTTGATATCCACCAGTCCCACTCGCAAGGATCAGCTGATTTTTAGTCCTACAGTACATGCAAATCATAGAAACGTTCTGCTGTTGGCTATTAGCAACCAGTAACTAGACAATTTTATTGAAGTTAATCGTGCAGTTTCATACTCACCAGGAAACCTTCCTGTAAATCAAATTTGTGAATTTTATCTAAAGGTAAATACTGCGTTAGGCAACATACAGTCCCTGTTGAAATTAATTTACTATCTGATTGAATATCTAAATTGACTTTGACCAAAATTTGGCATAACATGTGCAGTTCTTTGGAATGCTTTATCTATAATTTGTCATCACATGCCCATAGAAGCTTGCCTAGGGATTGTTTCCAACGATAGGAAGGATAATTAAATTCCCAAGCCACTTGAAAGCCTACAGTTTCCAACATTCATTTTTGACACTGTAGTTGGCTTGTGTAGACTGATAAAAATCCCGTAATAAGTTCCATTGATTTTGCCATTCCGTGAACAGATTAGCCTAATCCCAAATAGAACTAATTTTGTAGCGCGCCTTTTAAATATAATTGGATGGAATAAACTCTTCCAAAATTAGAGAAACGAATATCTTAGTGGAGTTCCAGATGACCGAATGGAAGGGAGAGGAGAAGGAGGAGATCTGGCTGACACATCTGAATTTTGCACGTGGAAAGAAAATTCTAAAGACTGTGCTAACTGGTCTGTGTTACATGGTCATCTGCTGATGCGTCTATTTTAACTTCATTTTGACTGTAAGTGACTTAGTTAATGTGTTCTGATTTATAATTTAGCTCAAGCTAAACAAAGGGTTACCACCACGCACGCACTCCAAATCCATGGCCTCTGACTTCGCAGATGTAGACAACGAACACACGAAGCAACAACCAGTGGTCACAAGCTCTAAAGTCTACTTCAATTCCTTTTCCATTTTCTGTTTCCAATATCTCGTTTTTGAAAACTCAATAAAATGTAGCAGTAACAGCAAAATTTTCAAATGGTTTACTTTCAGAATGCATTATTTGTACTATTATTGGAAATAGAAAATGCACGATCTCAAAAATCCTTCGGAACAATTAACCCGGAGAAATAGGAATTAAGCCTTTTCCGAGCGCCGATTTCTCACAATTGATCAAAACACTGTCTGTTTTAATTCCATAATTCTCCATTGTCTGTTTGAAAGTCCTCATCAAAGCACTGTAAGCCTATTTGAGGAAGAAAAGTGAAATGCTGTGCACATATAAACGAAGTAATTGAACCATAAACCAAAGGTTTTAACGGCGCAAAATGAGCTAGTCACTTTACCTTGTAGGCTCTAGTGAGTTCAGAGTGAAGTTCCTTTAGTTGTTTGTTCTTTGCAGAAAGTACCTTTTAACAAAATATGCAAGAAAATCAATTGATATTTCTATTGCATTTTCATTTTTAGCTTGGTTAATGACTGGGGCCTACTTCTTAAACAAAGTATTGCCTATCTAAGGTAGAATGGGAACATTATGGAGTCCCTTGATAAAAAATGTAACATTTTTGTCACCCTGCTTCGTTAATCATAATTAATCAGGTCAGTTAGCTTCTGCATCTCTGACTGCCCACAAATTGGCATCCAGGTCTTAAGCGCTCACTAACCTTCACTTTATTGACACTTAACATCCGAGTTCTAACCGAATCTTTTTCGAGCAACCACGATTACTCATATTGCCCCAAAGTACTACGGTGCTCAAAATAAAACAAAGCGTATTGACATTTTTCATATACCGCAGCATCGAAGGTTCCTGCCATCGCACCTTCGCTTATCAGTTTGATGATTTCGGCCTCGCTCATACTGACTATTTGCTTTTCAAGGAGAGTGTTCTTTGCTCCACAGTTCTGTTTCACGACTTTTACCGAGGACTCGTAGCTGTCATACAGTACATTACGTTCATTTTCAACCTGAAGCGAATAAAAGCAGTGATTACTTCATATTTGTTAAGCACAATAGTTGGTCCTACTCTTACACTTTTAAGACGTTGATGCAAAATTTCATTATCCATTTTGATATTCGATATAGAGCTTTTCATATCTCTGATCTCTATTTTGGCCCTCTGAAATGATAGAAATGATCATTAATATAGTATTCACATTTCTAACAACCTCTCAGCTGATTCAATCTGTTTGCGTACGATTGAATACTATTACAGCACACCTTCAAATGATATACTGGGAAGTAGTCTAGTCAGGGCATCACCACAATGGGATCCTCTATGTGATATTCAAAACTACAATCGATAGAGCCAAAAGAAAGCATTGCAAATAAGTAAACAAATACAATTAATCTTACTGATCACTAACTTTTAGAGCTTTGACATCCCTCTCATGGTTTTCTGCTAATCTCTTCAAATTGGCGCATACCCTCTGATATATGTTGAGTTCATTTTCGAGCAATCGATTTCGAGTCAAATGTTCCCCATTCTCCTTGACCAAACGATTCTCCACCTTCTGCTTTTCTTCTAGCTGAATCTGAGGTTGTGGTAAATGAAATTTCGTTTTTAAGAGATGGGATGCAAGATAAACAAATAAATAAAAAACTCTACATGTACTATTTAAATCACAGGAAAAACAAAAAGAAACTTCGAATTCAAGTTTTCAAATCTTACCATTTCTATTTGTATTAAATTTAATAAATTCCTAGTTAGAGAATAATTAAGAAAAGAAATTATAAGTATTTGAAAAGGTAGGAGTTGTGCATTGAAATACTGGAATATTTTGTCAATCTTAAAAGTGAGTGGTGAAGTAAACCCATGATAGGATTATCTTTTGAGATCAGTAAAACCTACAAGTTTTATTTTGTTGTCAAGTTCGTGGTCAGATGATAGGTATTCATCCAGGTATTCACAACCATTGAAACAGTGGATCAAACACGCTGCTTAAGTCTGAGAAATAGAGTGCGAGTTTCACGTCAAGGAAGCTCAAAAGTACCTTCGATTGAACCTAGTTAAGGCTTTGGATGCAGGAGTATGGTGGCAAAAATGGGTAATTTTTCTCACTCTTTTGTAATCTTGAGAATGGGTTGGCAACTTACTTGATCTCTATATCGATAAGACTATCACAATGTTCCACCTTAGGACTTGGAGTACTCTATTATCTGTTGTGACCTCAAACTGCCAAGATGGTTTATCATGCGCATCAAAGTGGTTTATGCATATTAAGTGTATTATAACACTCGTATGATCGCTGGGATACTTCAATCTCTTAGAAGACATGCTATTTCCACAACTCTTTCAAAAGTCATTTCTTTATACTGAACCATATATACAATTTTTGCAAGTACTGGTGCACTCTTTTCTTTCTACATATTTCGTCACCAATAAGTCTGTTTGTCGCACCCGCTTTCCCATAGCAATGGAAAAGATTAGTAAGCATAAGTGTGGTATAGCTAGGAACAAGCATCAGATACCTACACTGTAAATTTCTTTAAGGAATTCTCCCTCCAACAGACAAAATGTTGGCATTGATAAAGCAAAAACGACAAGTACATGACCAACTAAAGAACTTGAAATTGCCAAAAGATGCATCTTGTGGATTCATGTGATGTGCTTAAGGAAAAATTTAAATTCTCCCTAGAAAGGTAAAATCGAGTCTTAAAAATGGGTCTTAATATTTCAGAGTTGTTCTTTATTATTTCCTCTACCTTTAGTTCATCGATAAGATTGATGCTTCTAGCGGTGATGGTATCGTAATAGTTCTTCATTTCCATGAAGGCTTTTTCATGATTTCGCATCATCTCTTCAATAAACGCGTTTTTACGCTCCTCAGTTGCCTGCAGTTCCGATCGACATTGCAGATCCAATCGCTCCTCGAGTTTCCTCGTTTTCTCCAAGTAGAGGAGGCGTTCTGCCTCCGATTGTTGTTCATAGTCCTGCCGGAGATTAGTCAGCTTGAAAATAAGAAACAAGGTTGAATTAAGGGGATTACTCTCGATTCATCCATGATACACAGTATATTTAACATTGCAACTCGATTCCAATTCTAAGATGTGAGCACAACTGCCCCTTTATCATGTCACACTTTATCAAGACATAAGAATATAAATAGAGGTTATTATGAGAATTCCGTGTCAAAGAGGTATTTTTTGAGTGCTTTATTTGTTCTAATGCCAAAATATTTTCGGACGATGTCTTTAGGTCTTGTACATGGTTATTTATGACTTATTAATAATTCTTCGTAATACATATAATGAACCAAACTTTCAGCGGCATGCAAAATTTAGGTATGTAATTAGTCGAGCAACCAGTCATTTTTAGATAATTAACTAACTCGCCTCCTTTTCATGATCTATTTTTAGTTGCTTAACGAGTTCATTGTGATCATCGGCTTCTTTTCTCAACACCTCTTCCTTCAAGCGCGGTCTACTGGTTCCAGCACTGGCTTCAAGAGCCGCCAGTCCCGCGGCGACCTCCATTTCGGCCTTGACTTCAGCCAATTGGTTAGCGTGACAGGTTCCAATCTGGCGTACCTTCAGCCTATAGGCCATGATTTCCCTTTCATAACGTTCAGCAGTCTTTTGAGAGGTCTCTTGGGCTACTCGAAGCTCATCACTGCGGGTTTCCAACTCGAACTTTGTTGTTGTCCAGAATGAGTTAATTCTATCACGTTCCAATTGAAGGAGATTGCGTTCAGCACGTTCACGTTCAAGCTCCTTGCATAGACGATCAACATGGGCTTCTAGCTCCTCACGTGTCATTTCAGATATGTGTTTGGCATCTACTACATTGAGCTGTTTCTTCCTGGAGCCCTTTTTGGTATTCTTCTTTTTCGATACAGTATCTTTCTTTGGAGGCTTGAAAAATTAGAAAAATTCAGATAAATTTGGATAAATAGTGTTCATTTCAGGAAGTAAATAACCATCTTTAAGATGGAGGTTTTTCCTTATTTGATGATAATAATACAAATGATAGTTATTAATCTAAATAATGGCGATTAATAATGAATTCGAGTTTTCTAAAGCAGTGGGAGTAAAAAAGTAATTGCAAACCGGTTTTAAAATACACCCATCGGACATTGCCAAGAAATTTTGTAAAAATAGAATGTTCTGTGACAGTCGGTAGGCTTTTATTGAATTTATCGAACACCTTGAGAGTTATTATTACTACTTAGTGGCTTTTAACCCTTAAAAATATGTTGAAATGCAGTCACCCATAATTGATTATGTTAATCTGGAATTAGTTCTTTGAGGCTACTTAAAGCACTTCCACGATTAAGGAAATATCTATGAATCTTGGGAGTCTAAAAATTGGGTTTTAGTACGCAATGCTTTGAAGAAATGTTCCAAAAAATGAGCCTGATAATTCATTTTTCAAAATGAAGAAGCATATAAGACTAATGTTTCGGTACTATCTTTGCTTATAAATCACAACGATCATTATAGACTTCCCGTGCCGAACTTCGGTCGATAAAAGAATATCATTCCGTACGTTGAAGTGAATTTTAAGATCTCTAGTCCCAAGACTAAATATCTTCATCATTGTCTAAAACCATTAATCCGTGCTAATGTATTCTTTCCGCGAAAAATATAGTGAAAAATGAGGTCAAATTTAAGAAAATCTTAATAGGTAGAAAAACGGTTCAATAAAAGTGAAGATACGTTGGAGATCTTAACAATGTTCTTGGTATTCTTTTTAACGGCATTTTTAATTAAAATCGCATTTGGGAGCTGGTAGATAAACACTTGACTCAGAATGACCTAGCAGAAGAAATATAAAGGGGAATTATAAGGAGCCTAATCGAATGGTTTGACACACTATAGAGACCCAAAACTTTCATTTCCTTTAAATAAACTATCGAACATTGGAAACCCACGCTCACAATCTATATGTAAGACAACTTGTGAAGAAGACGACGATAGAACTAACTGAATCAGTCTATCCAAGTTACTTCTACAAATTATTCCCTTAATGGAGATAAAAACTAGCATTCCTAGCTTTTCTAATTAGTACATTATTAAAACTCATTCAGAGCTGTGAGTCATCTAAAAGAAAGTTTATAAACAAAGGAAAACGATATATCTATTTCTAATAAAACAACACCCCCAAACTCAACCATCTAAATCACTGGCATGTCTTTCACATGCTAAAATTTTCAACATAAAAGAAACTAATGAAAAAAACACGATTATCAACAACAAATAAGTTGCGACTTGTGAAATATACAAAGTACAAATATTAATGAATTTTAACTACTTACTTTCTTAAAATATGCAATTAATTTAAAGAAAAGCATAAACTTAAATCAAAATATAAGACACGGTAGAATTTTTGCTTCGGAATCTCTTAGATAAATGCTTCGTTATGGTCAATCGTACCATTCTCAAGGTTTCAAACTACGCATTATTTATGCCTCTATAACAATAAAGGTTGAAGGCCCAGCACTTTGTATGGTAATTATATTATATTGCTAAAAATAAAAGGTTAAATTTATTTTAGCTTACTATAAGTGAAAATAAATGCTAGATACTAATATTAGTTTTAATTATCGTTCTTAACCGCGCTCTCATTAGAATTGAAGGTTAAGTAATTCAACCCGAACAATCACACATCCAAAGGAGTTATTAGAATTACATTACTCATAGAAAAAGTCATGGTAAAATAGGTTAACATTCAATCATATTATCTATTCATATATTAGCTTATGTATATGAATTGGTTAGATTGAGTTTAAGTCATTGATTAATATTGACATTAGACCTTTATAATTATACAAATGTTTCGGGCTTTGTCATTTTCTTTGCCTTATCGTAATTAACCCTTAGGTTTCTTATTAAGCATGCTTATTTTAGTGGTCACTATTGCAAGAGTAGAATTTATGTTGTATTTAAGAATAGTTTTCCATTGCCATGAAACTATTATGATCTTGTGCATATTTCGGAGTATATATTAATTTACCATAGCTGTATTTGTTCATCTCTTTTTAAACCTTGTTGTTTTTTTGCATTTCAGGATTCTATGGATTCCCACGATGCGTGGGCTATGACTTCCGACCAAAAGGCATATTACTTGGCGCAATTTCTTCGTCTTCAACCTAATCCCTCTGGTTTCCTAAGTGGTCAAGCTGCTAAAGCTTTCTTTGAGCTCTCCAAGCTTCCTGTCAGCAATTTGTCTCAGATCTGGTAATTTGGAAAATCTTCTCAGTCCATATGAATTGCACCAGGCTTTTGCTTCTGCTTAAAACGTTCATCATTTTTATTATTATATCAAATGGCAGGCGCTTTGATTTTTGACTTCAGGTTTCACAGAGGGGAAGGAACATCAAAGTGGAAAAAGAAGTCGGGAGTGGGGGAACAGAAGAGTGCTTCAAAGACGAAGGTAGAAAAAAGGTGAGGTGAGTACTGTGGAAGTAGTCGAATATAACATACAATGGGGTGAGGGTAGTTTGAAGTCAGAAATCAACTGCCAGTTAATAGACTTTTTTGGCGTATGAATATACGTTGC